TCGGACTGCATGGTTCATCGCGAACGGCCAGAATCTGGTTGGGATGGCCGACTGCTTCATCAGGGCCCTCATCCTGGTGGCGAGGCTCCTGTTTGTCCATTCTGCTACTCCTTGTTGCTCGTGAGCGTAGGGCAGGGACACCAGGTGTTCAATCCCTTTCTGCTTGAAGAGCTCCTTGAACTCGTCTGAGAAGAACTCCAGGGCTCCGTCTGTCTGCCAGCTTTTTAATTTCAGCCCTGATTGTCGTTCGGCCCGCTTCATCCACGCGATGAAGCACTCGAAGGCGAGTGATCTGCAGTCAGTATTGACAGCCCATACGTAGCGAGTGCTTGCATCGATGAAGGTAAGCGTGTAAGATTCGCCGTCGAGCCCTCCTTGGTTGACATTCATGAAATCACTGTAAACCTTGTCGTGTGGCTTGTAGCGTTCGTAGCCGGGCGGTAGGTCGGGAAAGGGCTTGTGGGCGAGTGACGCGGCGGGGCACACTGTGCATGGCGGGTCTTCCGAATCTACTGTCAGAGAGCCTCCGCGGGGAAGGAGTAGTGCTCCGTCGTTGAAGACACCAGTTCGGAGGGAATTCTTGAGAGTTACGTGCGAGGGGTGGCCGAGCCGCTGATGCCATGTTTCCGGTTCCGCGCGGTAGCCGACTGTCTTCTGATAATAATTGTTTCTTGCTGCTGCGTCGTTTTGCTCCTTTCCAGGTCCTGCATTGGTGGCGTCATCAGTTTTGGTGGCAAAGGCTTGAATGGACTTAAGTTCCAGAAGCGCGTGAGGAATTCCGATGATGTCGTCGGTGTCACCGGCGTCAACTTGGTCCCCCGTGACAAGCAAGCACCGATTGGGCCAGTCGCGGACTGGGAGTCCCTTCATGGGAATACGGAAGTAATTGTACTCGGCACCGATGACCTCAATCTCCTGTGGTCCTTGTTCTGGCGGCGGCGGCTCCTCGGTAGGTTCTGGTAATTCTGCTGCTCCTCCGAAGAATTCGTAGGTTACTTCTTCCTCTGACTCTTCTTGCACTGGTTCTGGTGTGTCGGGAGCGTACTGATCGGGGAGAGGAGGTCCGCCCTAGCTGGTGCCACGTGTTGCCCAGTATGGGTCGACCGCCGCAACTTCCGCAGAGGGGAGTCCTGGGGCTTCTGGATAAGTAGGGTTTGATAAACTCCAGCCTCCTTCAGGAGTTGAAGCTCCCCAGCCGCCAGTTGAAGTTCCCCAGCCGCCTCCATCTTCCCATCCTCCTTCGGCGACAGCGCCGCCTTCGTCCGGTGTCGAGACAGCGCCCCATCCGCTAGTGGCTGCTTCCTCCGGCGTCAAGACTTCGCCCCAAGGGCCGACTGCCGGACCGGGACTTCCCCAGCCAGTTGCTGGGATTGTTGTTTGTTCTTCGTTGGTTGGTTCTGCAGTTGCTAACGTCCCGCTGTCTACGTCTTCTTCCATTGTTGCAGGTCCGGTGCCACCGGGATTGGAGGTTGATGTAGTCGAACAGTGCGTAGCCGTAGAAGACCATCCGAAGCAGGTCGCTCGAGATCCATCTCCTCGTGATGTGACCAAGCCAACGACTCCGTGGGAGCAGAAGACGAAGGCTCCGAGAGGGTAGTTTTCAGAAGAAGAGTTCGATCCGAGTCGCCAGTGGTGCCTTGAGCCGAGAAGTTAAGTACGAAGACCCCGTCATTGTCATCTGCCTTTCCGATGTAGGTGTTTTTGTAGTAAAGCTCGAAGGTCTTGTCTTTGCAGTTGCTGCGAATGTCGATACCGCACCGCATGAGTTATACTGATGAAAGGAGGTTGTATTGGAGATCAGGGGCAACCAGGACGTTGCCGATGTGAATCGTGAAGTGAGTATCTTCAGCTTCAAGGCAGACTTCCCCAATGTTGTAGGCCTTGAGGCGTCCGTTGTTGGCGACAGTGATCTCGCATGGTCTCCTCATGCGTTTTGAGTTTTTAATGAATGTTGGTGATCCCACCATGTGTTGCCCGCAGCAGCTGTCAAGACACCAGGTGTTGATGTCCTCGCGGTTTTGTCACGCAATCCCAGCAATCTTCGGAGTAACGACACGGTCAAAATATCCGGTGTAAGGTGAGAGGTCGATGTAGCGCCTCGCGGGAATGCTGGGAGGGGACTCTGGCGTTGGTGGAGGCAGGTCGAAATCAGGTGGGTATTTTGAGGGTTGATCGATCCAAGTGTGAATGATGGGGTCGTTGTCTTGACTGGGCGCGACAGGGTCGATGGGAGCGTCAGGCGGAAACTCTATTTCGTCGTAGTATCGAATCCCTCTGCGACGACGCACCATGCAGCTCATAATTGACCCTTTGCCTTTGTCCTTGGCCGTAATGCGTGCAGGTGTTTGAGAGGTGCTCGCAACCGAAGGAGGCGATATGGTGGTTGTTGCAGCAGGAGAGGTTGAGGGCGCTGAGCTCTGTTGGCCAGAAGAGCTGTTACGTCTTTCGTCGGCCGCCTTTCGCTTGTAGCACCGATCGATTGTGTGTCCAGGTTTCTTGCAGTATTTGCAGAAGGCCACTCTCTTCCCATGCTGCTCCCCTTCAGTCGCGCCAGTGTAGAAGACTAATTTCTCCCGCTTGGTGTTCTTCTCATTGTACAGATCGATCTCTTTTTGCTCAGAGAGAAGCGTGGCGCACAAGGCCGACTCGGAGACGGCTGCTCGAGCACGAAGCAGTGATTGGCATTGACGCCAGTCGGGTCCGAGGCCGGAGAGAACCATCGAGACGAACATGTCGTCAGTGACGGATCCGCCGCACTTCTTGATGTGGTCGCGCAGGTTGCGGCACCGGTTGATATATGGTCCCGCTTTCTCCCCTTGTTGCATTTTGACCGATGTAAGCTGGCTGAGTAGGCGACTCATTGTAACGGGGTCTGTTGCCATGTATGAGTTGCGCAGGTGCTCCCAAGAGGCGTACGCAGGCGCCCACTTTGACTTGTAGGAGCGAATGCCAAGCTGCTCGGAGGGGGAGAGATTTCGGAGCAGGGCGGTGTACGCGAGAAGAGATTCGTGGTAATACTGGTTCTTCTCTTGAATGGTGCCTTCCGTTGGAAACGGTAAGCTTCCGTCATAGTACATCCAGATTTGCGCAGTTGTCGCGAGGAGCTCAAACTCGAAGCTCCAAGTGTAGAAGTCCTTTCCGTCGAAAGGAACCGATGTTTTCAGCTTCGAAGTCAGAACGATTATTGTCTGCATTGTTGCAATCGTGTCTGAGTGTGCGCGTTGTTGACTGTCTTGCGCAGAAGCTGAAGCTTGACGGTTGTCGAACGTGAAGGATCTCTCGGAGTTGACGCGGCGGTCTTCTCCAGGGAGAGGAAGTCCAGCAACTCCACGTGCAAAACTTGAGCCATCGATGCTCATCGCTTGATGGCTCTCAAGAGCATTGACGCGGGCGACCAGCTGCTCAACGAGAGCGGCGCTGACGGAGGTCACCGCTGATGGTGCAGTGGGTGTTGCTGGTGGTGGGCCCGGAGAATCTGCAGTGGCTTTTCCTTCTGGAGCCGTTGTAGTGCAGAGTTTGTAACGATGTAATGAATCATTTATAAGGAGGTTGTTCTAGCAAGAACAAGAACTTAGCAGGCCTTATAATCCACTCTAGCTCTCATACCATGATGTTATAACTGAAGGATCGCAGTGGATAGGATAAAGCTGCTAAGTATATGAGAGAACTGTGAAGTCTCTGTAGTGACCTTGTTAAAAAAATGAGAGAGAACAAGATGATTATAAGATAGGAGTACAAGAATATAAATAGCAATCCTAGCTAGCCATGTACTCTGAGGGGTACATTCCCTTATTAACTGAATTGCATTACTACAGTAACCACGACTATTGCCATTTTAGACAGTTACCACGTTGCACTTCGCAACTGCCTTGTGCGGTTACTGGGCAGTCAAGGGTCACGACCGTTGACTGTCTTCGACTGTTGACCTTCGGGTGACCCTCGACCTTCCGCGTGCTCTATATGAGCTATTGCGGTACTGATACAGGCGCTTGCTTCGTTATGAAGTAACGCGGGAGTGGAGAGCCTTCGGGAATGCTTGTGATAACCTTTCGGTTATTCCAACACATCGGGCAGCTACAGGAGCGAGGATTTAGGTGGGAACAGGTTTGTAACCGTCTGGAGTCGCACCGTTGTGTTTTACGGAACGTACGCCTTAGAGTGGATGGCTAGTTATGACGTTTGGTTTTCCCTTTGTATTACTATATAAACATAAGTATCTGCTCGTTAATATTATGTCATTTTAAATTCACTCTGACCTGAGGTCAATACTTCCGCTGCAACTTACTCTATGCGATGCGAACCTTCGTGAGGTGATCCTGGGCACAATCAAACTTCTGAACGCAACATAGTACAACATGTACTTTCTATGCCCATATATGTATCTCTCCGTATTAATAAATTATGTTCGCATTATTATATTTCTCATATAAATATTACCACACTATAAGCACACAACATTTGAGACTAGTTGGAGACACTAATCATTTCAAGGTATGATGTATGTGTTTGCAAGTGCACAAACCAGTATGTGAAGACTGCTTGTAGCGAGCGTAGATTCAAGCAACAGCAGCAGATGGCGGGCAAGAAGAGGAGTGGAAGCGCGAGTGTGCAATGCACACCGCCATCGCCATGTATTACTGGAGCCATACCATACCAATTCGTGTTTAGGTGGCCAGCTGTTACGGCGTTACTACGTGTTTACGCGCTCGCTCGAACTATTCATTTCATGAATAGGTGCTGCGGTGGAGTGGAAGCGTTATGGCGAGCGCGCGTCGGTGCATTCACGGTGCCAGCGACGTCGCGCGGTGCTCGTCGCTGCTGCGCGCCTCGCCTGCGTGCGCGCACCGCCCTTCCGGCATCCGCGCGAGCAGCCGCGTGGGCGGCACTGATGCGGCAGCTGCGCGTTTGACGAGGTGCGCGAGAGGCGCGCATTCACGCGCCAGCGCCATCGGCGGCGCCCGCCACTCGCGGACGGATGCGCGGGAAGCTGCTGCGGAGTGATGCGAGGTGCGTCGCCCCTCGCCGCGCGCACCGCACCCACTCTACCCGCCCATCACCGCCCCGCTCCCCCCAACCACGCGTGCGTGCTTCGCCAGGACTCGACGCTACGAGCCGAAGCGCGAAAAGCGAAGCGCGTGGAGATCGCTGGCCGTGGGCCCGCCATGAGTCGGTCGCGCGCGGCGGCAGTGGCGTTGGCCAAGTGGGCAGTGGCGGCAAGAGCGTCCGTGAAAGGCGGGTTGGCAAAGTGAGTGCGCGAGTGGTGAGTGAGTCCGTGGCAGCAGCGCGAGTGCGATGAGGGCGCCGAGCGTGCGATGAGGGCGCCAAGCGTGCGATGAGGGCGCCAAGCGTGGGATGAGGGCGCAGCAAGCGTGGGATGAGGGCGCAGCAAGCGTGGGATGAGGGCGCAGCAAGCGTGGGATGAGGGCGCGAGTGCGATGAGGGCGTCAGCCTTGTCACCAAAACCCCCCCTTCCCGCACCAAGCGTGGGATGACGGCGCTGGGTGCTGCCATCGCATGCCCATGCACCAAACCCGACCTCGCACCTTCCTCCACCCTCCTTTCCCTCCCTCCTCCCCCTTCCTCTCCCCCCACTCTCTCTTTCCTTTCCCCCTTCTCTCCCGCTCCCTTCACCCCTTTTACTCCTCTTTTCACCCTCCTGTCCCCCTTCTGTCCCCCTCCTGTCCCGCTCCTATCCACCTCCCTCCCGTCCCTCTCGTCTCCCTTTGCTTCCCTCTCCTTTCCCTTTCTTTTGCCCTCATTTCGGCCGCCCCTTCCTAACGCCCTCCTCTTTCCTTCTTTCGCATCCTATCACTCTCCTTTCCTCTCCACTTCCCCCCTTTTCTCCCTCCGTTCCCCCTTCTTTCCCCCTCCCCTCCTTGCCCCCTCCTTCATCTTCTATTTCCTCCATTTCCCCTCCTTTCCCATTCCTGTCACCCTCCTATCCACCTCCCGTCCCCCTATTTTCTTCTCATTTCCCCCTCCACGCCCCCTGCTTTCCTTCTCCTGTTCCCCTCCTGTCCCCCTCCGTCCAACCACCTTCCCCTCAGTTCCCCATCTTCCTCCAAACCCCCTCCTATTCGCCTGCCTCTCCCCTGCTTTCACTTCTCACTACTTCTTTTCCTCCATTCCCTCTCCCCTCCCCGTCCCATTCCCCCGTCCTCTCCCCTCATTCCCCTTCCCCCCTCGTTTTACGCTCCTTCCGCCTCATATACCCTGCCCACTTCAATCCTTTTCCTATTCCACTGCCCTTCTCCTCCGTTCACGCTCACTTTCTTCCTTCCCCCTTCCCCCCTTTCCCACTCCTTTCCCCATCCTGTACCCCCTCCTTTCCCACTCCTTTCCCCATCCTTTCCCCATCCTTTCCCCCTCCTTCCGCCCTCCTTTCCCCCCCCTTTCCCCCTGCTGTGCCCCGTCTGTCGCCCTCCTCCACCCGTGCTGCCCCCCGCCTGCCGCACGCCTTCTCCCGGGTGCGTGCTTGGGGCAGGCAGAGGGGGCTGCGGGCGCCAGGGAGCAGCGCCATGCAGGGGAGGCCATGGGCGGCCATGCACGCAGGCGTGGGCTCAACGGGGCTCTCCACTCGCCCTGCCTCCACACGCGCTGCTCATCCGCCCCTCCTCCCCGCCTGCTGCCCTCTCCTCCCCCCCTTTTGCTCCTCGCCACACCCCTCCCCGCGCTGCGCCATCCACTCGCCCACCTCACCCTCCACCTCAACGGCTTGCCTGACCCACTTGGGGCTGGGAGTTGCTGCTGCAGCAGGGGGGACAGCAGCAGCAGGAGCACTGCATCCCCTCTCACCATGCGCTGCATCACCCACCATGCCACCACCATCAACACCACATGGGAAACACCAACTCTCAACCTGTCACAGCCGTGTTGATGCTGGCACCTGAGTGCACATGGCACTGCCCTGCACTGCCAATCCAACCCTGTGCTGCCCTTATCCACAACTCATTGCACGCAACTAGGCTTTCTCCATTCATTCAATCATTGTCATTGCAAGTGGGCACACACAACAAGGCCTTAATCCTACCCTACATTGGCCTTAAGCCTACAGGTGGCGTCATGCCAGCACCTACAGCATTGGTGCCTACGGGTACGGTACTTTGCACCCATTTGCACCCATGTCAAGGCAGCACCTATATGTAGTATTGGGCTGTCGGGCACCCATTCCATGCACCCATTTGCAGCTATGCAGTATCGGGCTGTCGTCATGTTGCCCACCACTCCCACCTCTCCATCCACGTTATTCCCACCCTGCCTGCACCCATCCTTGAAGCTTGCAGCAGCGCATTCACACCACAGCACCACACCACACCACCTTTCCCTCACCCCCTAACTTCCAACCGCCACCCACCAACCACCCACCCACACTCCCACAAACGCCCTGCTGTGAAGCAGCGCGCAAAAAAGGGCCGTGCCACCGTCGCTCCCCCATCCACGCCACACCCATCCGTCCTCCCCATCGCTCCGCGTTCGCTGCTCTCCCTGTTGCTGTGCTGCGCTGCTTACCTGCCTTTCATTCCGTCCGCCCATCTATGCTGCTTTCCTGCCTGCCATCCCATCCACCCATCATCTCTCTCTGCAAACAGTCCGCAACCCTTTTTTTGTAATCTTCATATTCTTTCTGTGAATCTTTTTTTCTCCGTAAGTCGGAGCTGTCATGACGTTTTTTGCTACTTTGTTTTTCCTTTTCGTTTTTCGTCCTTTTTTGCCGTCAGAGCAGTCAGGGCCGCCATGGGCGCTTTGGGGTGGCAGTGAGCGCGGCCTTGGCCTTGGGCGTTCTGCGAGGCGGCTTGACGGCAGCTTCGCCTTGCACTCGCCGCACCGCCGTGGGCGCTGCGGCACATCGAGGCCTCGGGATCAGCGTGGGTCCCTCCACGCGCCGAATCGCTGCTCCCGTGTTGCTCGGCTTCGGGATGCGCGACGGGGGGAGCGACATCGCTGATTGCGTTGCTGCTGCCGCCTTGCTGCGACCAGCTGACGGGCGTGACAACGCCACCACCAATGCCACCGACGCTGATTCCGTCGCGGTTGATTCCGTCGCGGTTGATTCCGCCGCAGCCGATTCCGCCGCGGCTGATTCCGCCGCAGCTGATTCCGCCGCGGCTGATTCCGCCGCGGCTGATTGCGGCGCAGCCGATTCCGCGGCGGTTGATTGCGGCGCAGCCGATTCCGCCGCGGCTGATTGCGGGTCTGCACATTCCGGCGCGGCGGAGTCCAGCGCAGCAGTTTCCGGCGCATCCGAAGCGGCGCAGTCGCACGCTGCAGGGTCCGACGCACCAGTTTCCGAGGATGCGCATTCCGACGCGCCTGACTCCCACGCTGCGCATTCCCACGCACCAGTTTCTGACGCCGTGGCGTCGTGCTTGCATCCCGCGGCGGCGTCAGTGCGATGACCGTTGTTGGTGCTGTCGCTCAGCGGCTGTACGCGCCGTGATGCGTTCGACTTCTCCCCGCCGAGGCTCTTCCAGAAGCTCAGCGCTGCAGAATACGACTCGCGCAATGGGGCCATGCTGAGGTAACGAGAACGCGACCGGGAAGGCTGAGAGGTTCTAGTAGCAAGAACAAAGCTGTAAGCTGGAGAGTTATGAGAGGAATGAGCGCGTGAGGCGGTGCTTTGTAGTGCGCAGGTGCGAGGGTGGCGAGTGGCGAGCGGAGGAGAGGCAGAGCGAGAAGCCTTGGGGTGGTCGGGGAGGGAGTGGAGGAGACAGCAGGGCAGCACGCTGCGTGCGCTGCGGAGAGATCAAGGCCCAAAAACAGTGCCTTGGGATCTTGCTTCGGTGCACTTGGGTGCAATTGGTTAAATTCAGCTTCGCGCGCAGTTCTGTGCGCTGAAAAGTAGTAACCCCGAACTGCTCGCCTGAGCTGGTTCGGCCTGACTTGTCGGGCCAAACCACTCACGAGTCGCCCCGTAACCCTCGCCACACTTCCGAGCCAGACTTTGCCCCTTGGTTTTCGCCTAGCTCGTTCGCGTTGCCTTGCCTCGCTAATTGCAGTCCTACTTTATAAACTTGCTGCGTGGTAGTTTCATATGCAAAAGGCCTACCTTATGTGAATGGAATTAAATGTTTGCAAATCCAACCCATTATCTGAATTAAGTCAAATTAAACAGGTGGGTTTGATAGATATTAAACAAGTGTATTAATTTATTATTATAACTAGTGAATCCATGCCTTGCTTAAAAGTAAGTTTCTAGGGTTTAGGGTAATGGAGTGTGGAAGGAGAAAACTATACGATATCATTTCGATAGTTGTTGCAATCAAGTACTGTTTTCAAATATTTATTAGATATTAGCGCAAGATTATTTAACAGTGTTAAAATTATCGGCTGACCCTTCTTGATTCACCCAATTCATTTAGCTTGCGCACGCATTTGTCTGGCGAGTTAAGTTGGACAGGGTGCTATAAGAGTCTCGACGTGTCGGTATCATGCAAGTTATTGCCAGGGTTTTCCCTGTGTGTTTTCCCTGTCGCCCCCTAACAGCTGGACATTGCAAGTGTCCACGCGCAGATCCGCCGCTCCATCTCATTCCTCGAGTCCCGCTTCGTCGATTGTGGTGACGACTTCGGAGGCGGGATAAGCGCGCGCCTGTCCCCCTTCATCAAGAAGCACGGGCCTGAGTGGGGCAATCCCGAGGTGAAGGTGCAGGGTGTCGACTCGGACGGTCGGCCGACAACACACACCTTCCTGCTGCACGAGAACCCGAGCGAGGATTACCCAACCCTCGGCACTCACGACGCCTGCGTCGATCTCTGCACCACGTTTGCCGAGACGCTCGTATGAAACCTCTGCAAACGGTTCAAGGACCTGGACTCCCTGGTGGGAGTGCGGCTGTTCATGCCTGACGAGTGGGAGCCTGGGAGAGCCGAGCGCCACAGGCAGTGCCTCGAGTGGCTCGAGTCACTCGTGACGCTGTTCAGTGTCAGAGTTATTTGACATAGCTACTGTAGGCTATAGTGGAGTAGCACATATGGGGTACAGTTTCCTAGGGTTTGCCTTTTGTACCCAACTTTCACTTAGTCATTTCATTCCTGTTTTCTTGATTCACATGGTATAGAGCGGGTTCCTACATGGGACCGTTCCTTCCTAAGGGCCCACCATAAGAAAATTTTTTTTTTTAGCTGCCCACGCACATTGCACCCTGCCCTAAATTTTTTTTTTTTTAGCGGCCCCTACGCTGCCCCTACGCGGCCCCTACGCCGCCTCCCACGCGCCCCCTATGCGGCCCCTGGCGGCGCCCTGACGAGGCCCCTGCCGGCGCCCTATCGCGGCCCCTGACGCGCTCCCTGGTGGCGCCCTCACGCGGCCCCTGGCGGCGCCTGACGCGGCCCTGACGCGGCCTGACGCGGCCCCTGGCGGCGCCCTGACGCGGCCCCTGCCGCGGCCCTGAAGCGGCCCCTGACGCGGCCCTGACGCGGCTCTGCCGCGGCCCTGACGCGGCCCTGACGCGGCCCTGCCGCGGCCCCTGGCGGCGCCCTGACGCGGCCCCTGACGCGACGCCCTGACGCGGCCCCTGCCGCGGCCCTGACGCGGCCCTGACGCGGCCTGCTGCGGCCCCTGCCGCGGCCCTGAAGCGGCCCCTGACGCGGCTCTGCCGCGGCCCTGACGCGGCCCTCACGCGGCCCCTGACGCGGCCCGTGCCGCGGCCCCTTGCGCGGCCCTGACGCGGCTCTGCCGTGGCCCCTGGCGGCGCCCTGACGCGGCCCCTGACGCGGCGCCCTGACGCGGCCCTGTCGCGGCCCCTGACGCGGCCCCTGCCGCGGCCCCTGACGCGGCCCCTGACGCGGCCCCTGTCGCGGCCCCTGACGCGGCCCCGCCACCTACCTTTCCGGCCCCGCCGCCTCCTCTCAGCGGCCCCGCCGCCTCCCCTCAGCGGCCCCGCCGCCTCCTCCCAACGGCCCCGGACGCCGCCCTCTCAGCGGCCCCGCCGAGCCGCCCAGCAGCCTAGCCGCCCAGCAGCTGAGCCACCGAGCCGCCCAGCAGCCGAGCCGCCGAGCCGCCCAGCAGCCGAGCCGCCCAGCAGCAGAGCCGCCGAGCCGCCCAGCAGCCGAGCCGCTGAGCCGCCCAGCAGCCGAGCCGCCGAGCCGCCCAGCAGCCGAGCCGCCCAGCAGCCGAGTCGCCGAGCCGCCCTGCAGCCGAGCCGCCCGAGCCGCCCTGTCCGGTAAGAGCAGCGCCTCTCTCACAGCACTGCCCTCACCCCACTGTTTGCGCTGCTAGTCTACTGCTGTCATGGCTACCCCTAGTGTCCTCGCTTTTGACGCTGAGGGTCGGGCCATTGACTTTGACGTCTGGATAGATGACCTGCAGCTTTTCTTACAGTGCGATAGGGCAGACGGCCTCTCCCTCTTTGACCTCACTTCTGGTGCCTCCCCTGCCCCCGCCACTGATGCTGACGCAACTGTTCGCTCCCAGTGGGCCACGCGCGATGCTGCTGCACGTCTTGCTGTGCGTCGCCACCTGCCTACCTCTGAGCGTGCGCACTTTAGCCAGTACAAGAGTGCTCAGACCTTGTACGACGCTGTAGTTGCACGCTACTCCTCCCCTGCCACTGCTGCACTGAGTCGCCTCATGCTACCGTACCTCTTCCCTGACCTTGCTGCCTTTCCCACAGTCGCTGACCTCATTACGCACCTACGCACTAGTGACACTCGCTACCGCGCTGCGCTTCCTGCTGAGTTCTGCGCCAAGAACCCCCCCCCCATGTACATCACCCTCTACTACATAGTCACCCGGCTCCCTGACTCCCTTCGCGTAGTCAGGGACCACTTCCTCTCAGTTTGCCCCACCACTCTCACCGTTGACCTCCTCGAGAAGTCCCTCCTAGCAGCAGAGAAGAGCATAGTGGCTGTAGGAGCCTCTCGTGGTGACCCTCGCACCCCCATCTTTGAGGGGTGTTCCCCCTCCCCCCTTTTGCCCTCTGTTGCCTCTGCTGCTGCGGCCGACCTCGTTGGGCTTGAGTCGGTCGGTGCGGCGTCTACCCCTAGCGGGAGACGCCGCCCTAGCAAGGGCAAGGGGGGCAGGGGCGCTGGAGGAGCTAGCGGGGGCGGTGGAGGCGGCAGTGGAGGCGGTGGAGGAGGTGGGGGTGGCGGTGGGGGTGGTGGCGGGGGTGGAGGTGTCGGTGGCGGCAGTGGAGGCGGAGGCGGCAGCGGCAGTGGCGGAGGGAGCGGAGGTGGCGGCGGTGGAGGAGGAGGCGGCGGAGGAGGTGGAGCTGGTCGGGGTGGCGCTGCGCAGAGGGTCGGCTCCGGTGGTGGTCAGCGCCAGCAGCAGCAGCAGCAGCAGCAGCGCACTCGTGACATCCCCTCCCCTCAGCAGCTCCGTGAGTGGTACACTGCACGCCAGAGGGGTGGGGGTACTGGTCCGTGCACCTACGTCCTCCGCACCGGCGACCGCGCGGGTGAGCAGTGCGGGGGTGCGCACTCCACCCAGCGCTGCTTTGGCCGCCTGACGGACGCTTGGCGTCACCAGTTCCCTGAGGCCACTGAGATCCCCCGCTGGGGTGAGCTGTCTAGGGCGGGTGTGGCTGTCTTTGACCTTGACTTTGATGCTATTCTTGCTGCCATGTATACTGTGACTATTAGTGATGAGGGTGACTGTTACCGGTGTTTTCCGCCCGACCCGGGCATTGAGACTGCTGCTCTAGGTACTGGTGAGGCTGCTGCTCTAGGTGCTAGCGAGGCTGCTGCTCTAGGTGCGTCTGCTCCCTCAGGTGCTGGTGAGTCTGCTCTCTCAGGTTCTGCGTCGGCTTCGGCCTCCCACACCTTCACCCTTGACTCGGGGGCTTCTCGCTCCTTCTTTCGAGACCGCACCACACTCACGCCGCTTAGCCAGCCAGTTGCAGTCTCTCTGGCAGACCCCTCTGGGGGTCCTGTCCTTGCTCACTTCTCCACTGTCCTCCCGTGTCCGGCGGCCCCCTCTGGCACCCTGTCTGGTCTTTACCTTCCCTCGTTCTCTACGAACTTGGTGAGTGGTGCTGACCTACAGGATGCGGGGGTTCACCAGTTCACTCCTGCGAGTCAGCGGGTGACCCACTGCACGGACGCTCGGACAGGCCGACACCTGGCCACGTTTACCCGTCGGCCGGGGTCGAGCCTGTACACCCTGACTACTGCGTCTCCTCCAGTCACTACGTCTGGTCAGGTAGCTGCGTCGGGTCAGGTGTTTGCTGCAGCGTCCAGGTCTGGTCCTGAGTCTGCCCCCTGTTCGTGTCGCCTCCTGTCTCACGAGACTCTCCTCTGGCACCACCGCCTTGGTCACCCCTCCCTGCTTCGTCTCCGAAGCATGGCCTCCCGTGTCCTTGTCTCTGGTCTTCCCCGGTCCCTCCCTCCCCTTCCTCCGGGGCCTGGCCCTACCTGCGTCCCCTGTGTCGAGGGGCGGCAGCGTGCTGCCCCTCACTCCT